ATTTTAACCAGCTGCGTTTGGAAGTTCATAAACTCCACGAAAGAAAAGCTTTGTGGAATCTCTCAAAAGTGATTTTGTAGAGAAATAGTGGATCCTTTTGATGAAACCAAACGTATGTTTAAAGAAGGCTTTATGTGTGCAAAAAGTCCCTTTAAAGTTTGGCGCCGACTCATTCTCCCCAACCCAATATATTGAAAGTTCTATATTGAAAGTACTATATTGAATGTTCTAAGTTGAAGAGCATTCAACTAAATACTGAAAACTTTTGCTGGAGACTTCTGTCGATATCTCTTCTTCTAACGGTCTCATTTCGAATAACCGATCACCCATTTTCCTCAAAATACAGGAAGAATAAAGCTTTTACTTTCAAAATGCTAAAAATCAATCAAATTCTATAGCTTTAGACGTTCAAAAAGCAGCAGATGTGAATGGAAAGACAAAAACTTTCTTTATAATAAACAATTCAATTCAAAAAGCAACTAAAGATATAAAGAGAACTTTAAAGAACATTTAGATTTAGAATTTAGAATTTAGAGAGTGTTTTGATTCGTATTTTCATAAAATTACTTGTATTCGTTCCTAACAGTAAACGGATATGGACTAGAATTTGGGTTTAGAAGTTGGTGAATTGAAAACTGCCGGCTATATCATATGTGACAGTTTGAGCACTTTCTTCAAAACAAACCCATTTTAATGTCAATGGAAAAGTTGTAGAGAATCAAAAATCAAGCTTATATCCAAATTTTCAGAACGATTCAAAAACTGGTTTTCAAGAAATGCCAAATTTACACAAAAGAAATGCCAAATTTACACAAAAGAAATGCCAAATTTTCACAAAACTTGCATTTTAAGCGAAACTACTCAGTGTATCTTTTTGGAAATTTGGCTATAAGCCTAATTTTTGATTCTCTACAACTTTGCTATTGACACCAAAATGGGTTTCTTTTGAAGAAAGTGCTCAAACTGAGCTGACGGCTGACATCTCCAGTCCTCCATTTTTGAGTCTCACACTTGTCTCACACACAAACCAAAATCCTACTACGAAAGAGGAATCCGCAAATTGCCTGTAAAATAGGCAGAAGTCGTCAATAATAATGGAAATTATTTGGAATGAATTGATGGCTTTATGTTGAATCAATTTTAGTTCAAAGTCCCGCAGTTTTCAATTCACCAACCTAATAGTTGATAACAATTGCTAAACTAAGCCTAGTTAATGAGTCTGTTTTTCTCCTCACCTTTTGACTCTCAAGACCAGCTATGAAAACAAAACCAAGTTGCTTTATTGAATGAAATGTCCAACAATATTGAATGTCATAAGTGTTCTTGGTGTAAAATGTTAAATTTCTTCTGTAAATCATAAGAGTCGTGGAAGAGGCGATCGTCATAGCAATGAAGAGATTGATGCTGCTCTGAAAGAGTTACCGTAAATATTCTAATAGAAGCTCGCCTATGGGAGCTTTGCGTAGTCTAACAAGAGATTGTGTACCAACTTAAGGTGAGCTTTTGGATCGAGATTCGATGCAGAATTTCACGCTGATTCCGAATTTGCATTCTGTTTTTGCAAAATGGCCCTCTATCAAAAGTTACAAACATTTTAAAGTTGTACAGTTGTTTGTGTAGTCAGTTTTTTGGTCGAATCGGGATTCCGTTATAAAGCTTCTTTAGTGCCAGTCAAATGTGGACCGGCGGCGCAGTCGGTAGAGAGCTACGAAACGATTTCTTCATTTTCTTGCTTGGGTTCCATTCCATCCTTTGTTTTTCTTTTGATTTTGATTTTTCAACACTTAAATTTGTTTTATTTTTATATTTCATATGGTATGACACTGAATTTTTTTATATTAAGGTTTATAAACAAAGTGGGAAGAAAGTCAAAGTCAAAGAAAAGTCAAAGAAAAACCGACCACTTCAGTCTTTTTTTTCTAAAAACTGGTTAACTGTTTAAATTTGTGTTATACCTCAAAAAATCACGCATTCTCTCTACTTTCATTTGATACCCAAGCGAGCAGAAAGAAACGTATCGGTGCCAAGATATGAGCGTTTATTTGAGAGTAAACTTAGACTACGCGACGCTTCTATACTGGCTTCTATTAGAGCATTTACGGTATCTTTTCCTGGCTCTGGGTCAAAGTAGAATCAGCTTGAGCTAATTCTAAGGCCTCAGCAACATTTCCAGACTAGATCAGGCAATCCAGAGCTAAATCTGACGGTAATTAGAACCAAAGCCTTTTCCTAGAATTCGATAATCGATTTGGACAAAGCCTACAATCGATTTGGAATATATAAATATAAAAATTCCCATGCAAGCGTCAGCATTTGATGGATAGACGTAAAGAGGATGAATGAAAATACTCCACGTTCGATCCCGGGTGAGCAGCCAGAACTGAAGAGGGTTACTGTAGCCAGGTAGACACATCTTACTGTCTGCTGTTACCGTAGCCTTGTGAATTGCTGTAGGATTAGCTATTAATGATGCTATTAATGATGCCAGGCACATCCTACTGTTTTCTCTTACTGTAACCTGTTGGATTATTGTGGGATTACTGTAGTCTTACAGTAGTCTTACAGTAGTCTTACAGTAACCCTATTCAGTTTACCTACGACAAATATCTCTTGTAAACACCCATCACCGACGGTGTATCGCCGATATAAAGAGCGAAAAGATGCGTTAAAATAACAATTACTGATTGAATGTAATCCGAAATGAGAAGAGGTCCCAATGAGGTCCCAATGAGAATTCAATTGCATTTTTTATAGTCTCATTGACCGTTGAAGATTGCCAGATTGTAGACATGGATTATTGAGTTTGCCCAATTCATGCAAATGGTTCAGTTGCTGTTTTCGATTGTTTTATAATCACAATTAAAATATTCCGCAAGTTCACGTGTAGTCTTTGTCGAATCACTTTTAATTATCTGCTTCAAACCGTTGTTTGCCACAACCTGTTAGCGGTGTCCTCGTTCCAGATCTTCCAGACTTCCGTCACCCTTTCAAAATCTTTTGAACCAGTTTTGACATTGATGAACAGTGCATCTTTCTCAAATACGTTACGAAGTGATTCATGCGATTCAGTTGCTGTTTTTTCATGTTTGAAATCGTAGAGCATACAATTGCGAATACTATTCTTGGAGATTCGAAGCAAATTTCCTGAACAAAGAACTCTGATGGCTTTTTTTGCATCGTCTAGTGAATGTGGAATCCATTCTTCAGCTTCAAATATCGCTATCTATAAAAAAACTCGTTTTGGGTTTAAATGAGATAAACTTCGTATGATTAGACGTAAAACTTGATAAAAAAAAGGAATCTAGGTTACTTATTGATTATCTCCCTCACCCCAAAAAGAAACCCATCATTCAAAATGAGATTTTCTTCACCCACCTCCCCATCAATGCTCCGCTTCTAACTCTGATGGTTTTGTTTGCATCGCTTAGTGAATGTGGAATCCATTTTTCAGCTTTATTGATCTTGCCCAATTCATGCAAATGATTTTCGATTGTTTTATGATCTCAATTAAAATATTCCGCAAGTTCACGTGTAGTCTTTGTCGAATCACTTTTGATTATCTGCTTCAAATCATCGTTTGCCACAGCCTGTGAGCGGTGTTCTTGTTCCAGATCTTCCAGGCTTCCAGATCCGTCGCCCTTTCAAAATCTTTTGAACCAGTTTTGACATTGATGAACAGTGATAACATCTTTTCCAAATATGTTACAAAGTGATTCATGCAATTCCGTTGCTGTTTTTTCTTGTTTGAAATCGTACAGCAACAAATGCGAATACTATTCTTGGAGATTCGAAGCAAATTTCCTGATGGCTCTGATCTCTGATGGCTTTGTTTGTTCGATTCCGTTGTTGTTTTTTCTTGTTTCAAATCGTACAGCATACAAACGTGAAGTCGATATTTGAGCTCGCCTAGCATCTAGTTGGTTCAGTGGTTTGGCATTGGGAGAGTAGAGACGACTCCACGGCACATGTCGGCAGTTCGTTCACTTTGCTTTTATACGGAACTCAGGCGTTGGTCTCGTCTTAAACACAATGGAGTTGAACGGATAAAACCGTTAAATCTCGCACAATAGGCGTTCGCCCACAAAGGTGTCTGGCTGACCATTTCCATCCGTGGTGATCTCGATCACGAGATCGTCACGACAGATGGTCTTGTTTGCATCGCTTAGTGAATGTAGAATCCATTTTTCAGCTTTATTGATCTTGCCCAATTCATGCAAATGATTTTCGATTGTTTTATGATCTCAATTAAAATATTCCGCAAGTTCACGTGTAGTCTTTGTCAAATCACTTTTAATTATCTGCTTCGAACCGTTGTTTGCCACAGCCTGTGAGCGGTGTTCTTGTTCCAGATCTTCCAAATTTCCGTCACCCTTTCGAAATCTTTTGAACCAGTTTTGGCATTGATGAACAGTGATACATCTTTCTCAAATACGTTACGAAGTGATTCATGCGATTGAGTTGCTGTTTTTTTCATGTTTGAAATCGTACAGCAGTACGAAGTCGATGCGAAGTCGATTTTTTTAGGTCGTCTAGCATCTATAAGATTTTTTTATTAAAATTCTTCAACTGGAAATAAAGAAAAGACGCGTAATAAAGCACAATAATTATATCTTTAAAACAGAAGAGATTGCGGTGGTAATAGTATCTACAGTGTTAAAATCCATAAAGAGAAACGTAATTTCAATGTCACGAACCTAATATTTTGTCTAGACTAATTGAAATTTAAAGATTGATAACGTAAAGGCATGAAATCTCTTTGAATTGAATGGAAACCAAAGCCAAAGATTGGCTCAGTGTTATCGTTTACCCAGAAATGAACAAAACCTATTATTTAAAATGGTTGCCGTAAAATCGTAGTTGCTTGGGCGTTTGGAAAAGCCAAATAGCCAATAGCAGTACGTGATTTTTGTCAAATCAATGTTTTACAACTTCAAAAATTATCTACATTTATTTGCAAAAAAATAGTTTCGAAAAGAAGTCTAAGCCTTTCTGGCTTACTAATGATCTGTCTCTGATACTTTTCCTTCATCCATTTTCTTTCCAAACTTGGCTTTGATTGCATTCAGATAGACTGGAGTCATCAAAAGTAGAATCCAAGAATAGATCACCGAAAAGTACGAAGGAAGGATTATCACAGAGTTGATGATCCCTGAAGGATTAGATTATTTACATGCAAAGATAGCTGATAACCAAGACTGTTCTAATCTGGTTCATAACCAGATTGGAACAACCCAGCAAGACCCGAAGCCAGACTAGAACCTCCTTTTCTGGACTGGTCCTAGCCTGTTTTCGAATTGGCTTCGGAAGATAACCTACTGCTTATAGGGCTCTAGGTCCTTCAATCTAGATCAGGCAAAACAAGGCCGGGTAAGTTCAGGAAAGGCCAGTAGCTGGCTTTGATCAAAAGCAAAAAAATAAAAATTTCATTCCGTTGCCGGGAATCGAACCCGGGCCTTATGGGTGAGAGCCATAAATCCTAACCACTAGACCACAACGGAAGGTGAGAAGGAGTGAGAGAGGAGGGGATTTCACCCTGGCTCACCATTGACAGCTGCCAAACAAATTCGATTTAAGTTTCTTCAAGATTTGGCTCTATAAAGAGTTGAAATTAAAGTGTGCAATTACAACTCATCATAATTTTCAAACTAAAAGCATTCCATTGCCGGGAATCGAACCCGGGCCTTATGGGTGAGAGCCATAACCACTAGACCACAACGGACACGTTGCTCGTTTTGAAAAAAGTAATATTAGAGGCTTGCCAAGTTGGCTAGTTGGCCTCGGTTAACCTATTTCTTTCAATCTATTTCACAATGCATGCACTTGACTTTTTAAATCAACTTACAAGTGTTAAAGATTTGGAAATAGATTCCAAGCATGATGACTGCGATCGGGAAAAGAAAGAAGACAAAAACGGCACCAAGCTGAAAGTCAATTTTACTTCATATTTGGTAATGTGTTTTCTGAAAAAACGGCTTATCCAATCAAAAAAAGGTTTGCTTTATTCAAAAGCCCTATCCTTAATCTACAAAATGGCTTTTCGCATCTTCTACCAAGACAAAATTGCTTACCTGTAACAACAAAGTGTTACTAAAGTACTTTTGCAGCTCAAAGGTTTTCGGTGACATTCTTTCTTTTGCTTGTGCTAGTTGAAAGAAAATTGAGAAGACGAAAAGAGCTGTGAAAATGCAGGTCCAGATGGCGATCACGAAAATGCTCATGAACCAGATAACAATTGGAAGATTTAGAGTGTAAGCAGTTGCGGTGAAATCGTGATATTGGAAGCGAGAGAGGTCGACCTGAAAACACTGATGTTTTAGCTAGTTTTACAATGTATTTTTCTAACATATTTCCACTACAGCATACCAATAAGCTAATGCCTTTTGGCTTCGATTGAAGAATTTAAGTTACTTACAAGGAAATGATCAAAAGTGACTGAGATTTCGGTACTAAAATGAGATTCAAACATCTATCGAATACGGCGAGTACGATGGTGCTTTCGGATTTTGATAAGGATCGCTAGATTTCGAGAAAAACGATTTTGAAATTTCGAATACTCAAAAACTCCTAAATACCTGAAAATGAGACACGCTTCTTTAAAGGAACTTCCTTCGGGCAACGAAATTGTGCACGAAATTGGTGAATCGGTAGAGCCTTCGACTGTCGTTCTCGGGACCCAGGTTCGATCCCCGCCAGCTCCAGTTTTTGCCCTTTTTTCCAAACTTTTCCATACATTTCAGCGTTATAGAACTTTTAAGCCTTAATTTTTTTTCGCCATTGCTCAACAATTTTATCTATAAATCCAGAAACCAAAAGAACAAACCAATCAATCAACAAAGATGCAATCCCCATCTATCAAAGCATAGTCACACAGGTTAACTAATTACAAACTATATAATTACCGAATGTTTAGCATTTTACAACGCGGAACAGTCTTTAGTGCTCACACTTCTCATCACTATGCTTTGATCATTCTTTTAAAGAAACATGCTTCATTTTCAAGTAAGCACCGAGATTTCAAAGCCGTTTTTCTCGAAATCTAGCGATCCTTATCAAAATCCGAAAGCATCATCGTACTCGCCGTATTCGATAGATGTTTGAATCTCATTTTAGTACCGAAATCTCACTTCTGATTATTCCCTTCTTCGTCTTATCGTCAGATAATCCTTGTCCTTGAAATGTAATCTCAAAATCCTCACCTTTTCACTCTCAAGCCCTGCAATGGAAAACAAGATTACATTGCTCAACTCAATAAAATGTCCAAAAACATTGAAAGCTATGATGGTTCTCGGGGTGAAGTGATACTTCCCCGGTGGAGTCAGCTGATTTCTTCGATAGATCATTAGAGTCGTGAGTGAGGCGATCGTCATACTGATGAAGAGATTGATGAGACTCTGAAACTAGCCTTCAAAGAAAACCAAAACGTATCCCACAAATTGATAATGACAATCGATTTGGAACATAAAGCTGAAGAGTCCCATGCAAGCGTTGGCGTTTGATGGATAGATGTACACGGGACGCACAAAGATACTCCACATTAGATCCCGAGTGAACAGCCAGAACTGAAATAAAGCTTGCTATTAGTTTTTATGTTTTAACAAATGGGACTAGTACTTTGTTTTGTCAATCGGACAAGTTTGAGCACTGTAAGCAAGAAAAAATTTGCATTTTTGTGTGAAAATTTAGTGCTTTCGACCCTTAGCCGTTATCCAGGAACTTTCTAACCACCACCAATCGATTCTCCGTGTCGGTTTACATAGGAAGCGTCAGCTAAAAATCCGATTTAAAGCTTGTGGAGTGAGCTAGAGGGGGCTAAAGTTGGATTGTCGAGATTTTTTGTGTCTCTACTCAAGTTTGAGCCCCTCTAGCTCGCTCCACAAGCTTTAAATCGGATTTTTAGCTGACTTGTCTTACGTAAACCGACATGAAGAATCGATTGGTGGTGGTTAGAAGGTTCCTGGATAGCAGCTAAGGGTCTAAAGGCTCCTAAACTAAAATCCCGCCGAGTACCCAATGCTGTAGGCACCTGTCCTGGTCTATATCCTGTCGCTGACCAGCCTTGTGTTCAATTGAACCAAAAAGTGAGCCTTTTGAAATACTCGTAGGCAAGTATTACACTTTAAAATTTAAAACAGAGCTTTTACGGGTCTCTGCATTGTTTTTGATTGCTTCATTTACCTGCGTATACAACAAATATCTCTTGTAGACATTCATCACCGCTGGAGTATCATTGATGATTAAATAAAAAGTAAAGAGATGCGTTAAAATGACGATTGGTGATTGAATGTAATCCGAAATGAGAAGTGGCCCCAACGAGAATTCAAGCGCATTTTTGATACTCTCATTGATCGTTGAAAATTGCCAGATTGTAGACATGGAAATATTATGAGAGAAAGATCAGAGCTAAAGATTGAGCTTTTGAAAGTCTGCCTGGCAACGAAGAAAACCTATTATTTCGATGAATGATTGCCGACACAAGATCGGTAATTGCTTGTTGGACTCGAAAGATTTCTTTCAGCTTGTTTTGATGAAGATAAATAACAGTACTTTACAGTAATCTTCAAACTTTAATGCAAAATTCAGCCTATAGTTAGATATTGTAGTCTAATATTTATAAAATCTGTTTCCTCAGAACGCATCACACATGGAATGTTCAAAGTTTGACAAGGATTCTTTTTCAGTAGTCTTGTAATCTAAAAGTAGATTGTTTCACTAAATCTTAGACGTTGACGCTACAAACTACAAGATCAGCTTTCAAACTCTTATAGAAATTTTTAGAATAGAGATTTTTTGAAAACTTTTTCACCAAAAAAACGAGCCAATTTTAGGCTTTTGAATGACAAAAAAAAGCAGACTAAATCATGTTCTCTGTGCTGATTAACGTTTTTTTTTCTAAGCTCGTAGTCTCATCCTATAAAACGAGACTCAAAAACGGTTATAAATAGCTTGTTCTCAGAGTAAAGATGATGAATTTTCTTGATTTTTCTCGAAAGCCTAAAGTTTAACCAAAATTTTGGCATTTATTAGGTTGATGCATGAGTCTTTTCGTTCCTTTTCGTCTGCCGTTTCAAGCCAACAAATGCACCAATTAAACTACGGTTGATTTCATTAGAAAAACCAATTATTTTTCTGCAAAATAACATTAAAACGGGTTTAAAAATATTTAATGCCTGGATTTTCTTGAGAGTATGAAGTCGGGTAGTCAAAAAGGGCTAACTCGATGATGCGGTTTAGACACCTTAGCTAAAGAAAACCTATCTTCGTGTCAATAGATAAAAGATAGAGAAAAAAAACGTTTGATATTTCGCCAAAATTTCAGAGAAATTCATTCAGCCAATTTTTCCGTAGAGTTTTTTATAGATTTTTGCGAAAAAGGCGTTTTTCACTCTCGAATTTGCTTGAAAGTCAACCGAAATTCATTTAAAAAGATGCAAATTGAACAAAAAAACACTTTTTTTTATAGAGCAAACTATAGATTAATTGGTGAATTTGTTACTTTTTAACAGAAGTACGAAAAAAATGAAAAGACTTATGCATCAACTTAATAGATCCAATTTTATTCTCAATAAAGATAACAATAAAATAACAAGATTTATCATTATAGTTATTTTAAGATAAACCTCCTTTTATCCTCTTGCAAGGACAGAATGATTGCTTAAAGAATTGCAAGAAAAAATACAAACTAATTGTGTTGATTTAAAGGTTTTTGCCTGGATTTTGATTGACTATCAGTTTTCTAAGAGTTTATTTCACAAAACTGAATATTTTTTCCTTCTTCAGGAATACTGAACTATTACTGCTTCCCTTATCAGAACTGTCAAACTTGGCTGAACCTTCAATACAACCTTTCACCGCTTGGTGAACCATGTCCGTTGTGGTCTAGTGGTTAGGATTTATGGCTCTCACCCATAAGGCCCGGGTTCGATTCCCGGCAACGGAATAAAACTTTTGCTTTTTAAAGTTTTGTTTTGTGGCGATCAAACGATCAAATTCCTTGTCAGATCATGGAAACAAGCACGTCATTTGCCAAATGCTATTTGCAAATGCTAAATGCAAACAAACTCAATTCAGACAATCAGATTGAATGTGTCACACCTGCAATGGCCGAAATTTGACAAAGATTCTAACAATCGAATGGCGCTGTGTTTAGCCTAAAAGCCTCAATTTACAAATTCACTATGAGCAACTCAGGCTTAGGCCTAATGATCTCAAAATTGGGCTGGCTAAATACTCATTGTGATACCAAAATTGGGATGATTAAATAATGATACCTGGTCCTTTTTCTTTGTGCAACCCTTTTTTTCTATCCGAGCCTTTGGAAATCTCAAGAGTTCCCTTTTCACCTATATTTGCAATTATTTTATTTTTGGGATGGCATTTGTTTTTTTTTTGAGACATTGAATGTTGTTCTTTATAACTTATTCACAAACAGTTTTTTTCAGAAATTCTTTCGAAATGCAATTCGGCTAGAGCATTTGATTTGGGTTATCGGACATTTGATAAGCTCCGTCCCCTTTGTCATTAGCAATCTAACTTTGAGCTCAAACTTCTTGGTGTTGAGCTGTTCTTTGGATTTCCAATGACTCAAAGTTGGATTTCCAATGACAAAGGTGGCGGAGCCGATAACCTTTTATACGCGCTCCGCCCCCTTTGCCATTGGCTATCTAACTTTAAGCTCAAATACCTCAGTCTTGGGCTGTCCAATTCCAATATTTTTTGTACCAATCGACAGAGAAAGACTTGGCGCATTTAACGATACCAAGAAGGTTTAAATTGAACAACTCAACATCAAGGTATTTGAGTTCAAAGTTGGATTGCCAAAGGAGACCGGATCAAATGCCCCACAATCTTTTAGCTTTCTGTCACTTTTTCCAATTCGAACAGTTTACCACATAATTTATAACCAAAACTTTGCGTCTTAGACATCAAAAGATGAAAGATTTGCTAGTTATTTTGATCCTGTTTCTTCCAAAGAAAGAATCACTGTTTTAAGGAAAAATGATATCGAATTGTGCAGAAATTTGGGATTTTCGAGTGATTTTTACGCAGATTTCGATTGTTTTCTAAAGCTGATAAGCTGTTTTTCCTTGTTTTGATTGTTGTTTTTCTTTGATTAGTTTTCTGAAAGCTTACTGAGTCTCAAAGTCGCAAAAGACTGAGTCTTTTGTGCGTTTTCAAAAAAAGAGTACAAAACGGTGACAGTTTCCCTTATCAGAACTGTCAAAGAAGTCAACTTGGCTGAGTCTTGATGACCTTTTTCTACCTGGCAAACATGTCCGTTGTGGTCTAGTGGTTAGGATTTATCGCTCTCACCCATAAGGCCCGTGTTCGATTCCCGGCAACGGAATGAAAGTTTTGCTTTTAGTTCGAAAATTATGATGAGTTGTAATCGCACGCTTTAATTTCAACTCTTTATAGAGCCAGATCTGTTCTTGAAGAAACTTAAATCGAATTTGATTGATAGCTGTGAATGGCAGAGCGAGGGTGAAATGTTCTTTTATCTCAACCCCGATTGCCTTCCGTTGTGGTCTAGTGGTTAGGATTTATGGCTCTCACCCATAAGGCCCGGGTTCGATTCCCGGCAACGGAATGAAATTTTTGTTTTTTCGTGTTTTGATTAAATTTGATGAAATTTGATTAAATTAGGGATTCAATTTCTTGTCAGAGCATGAAAACAAACGTATATTTGCCAAATTATATTTATTTAGTAAACTTAGACAATTCCAAGGGTAAATTAGAGTTTTCTCCAATTTCTACACTTTGATTTCTCATTTTTGATCATTTTAAAACAAACTCCAAATAAAGAAAGCTAATTTTTCGGTAATCAGTGAATAGAAAATGAAATTTGCAATGTAAAACATGTGAGCCGAACGCTCACAGAAAGAAAAATAGCCAAAAATATGAGAAATCAGTTAGTACAATTGAAAAGTCACGATTTTAACGTCATTTAGTGAACCATTTCTATCAAAAATAAGTCAAATCATCAAAAATTCATCAAATTCATCAGCAAATTGGGTTATTGCATGATTGTTGACCCATTTCGAATGTTTTCTGAGCAAAACAATTAGCCCAAACTTGTTGATTTAAGCCAACTTCTGTCCATGCTTTGTGCAAAAGCTCTTGCTCTTGCTCTTGCTCTTGCTCTTGCTCTTGCTCTTGCTCTTGCTCTTGCTCTTGCTCTTGCTCTTGCTCTTGCTCTTGCTCTTGCTCTTGCTCTTGCTCTTGCTCTTGCTCTTACTCTTGTTCTTGTTCTTGCTCTTGCTTTTCCTCTTGCTCTTGTTCTTGCTCTTACTCTTGCTCTTGTTCTTACTCTTGCTCTTGCTCTTGTTCTTACTCTTGTTCTTGTTCTTGCTCTTGCTTTTCCTCTTGCTCTTGTTCTTGCTCTTACTCTTGCTCTTGTTCTTGCTCTTGCTCTTGTTCTTGCTCTTGCTCTTGTTCTTGCTGTTGCTTTTCCTCTTGCTCTTGCTATTCAAAATCTACAACAAATTCTAAAATTTCATGATTAGTTATTTGTGAATCTTTGAAGTGAAACTGGCTTACTCTTTTTTGAGAAATTTTAGGATTTAAATGATTTCCTGGTTTGGTACAAGGCTGGCTCTTTGTGACTCAGATTATTATGTTTTCAAAGCTCGACTTTCCCACACAATTTTCAAAATCCCATAAAGTTATAGTGTTAATAGCTGACCAGCTATGTAAAAACGCTATAAATTTATGAGTCAGTCTTTTCAGTTCAAAACTAGACTTTCCTTTTTGTAAAAGTCTGGTAAACTTTTGAAGATTTTCAATTTAATTTCAAGATTCTTTCAGCCTGTTTCTTGTCTGAATTTTTTCTAAAAATTTTCTGCAAAATAGCGGTTATCAGACATCTGATGAACCCCGCCCCTTTTGCGATTGGTGATCTAACTTTGAGCTCAAATATCTTGATGTTGGGTTGTTCAATTTCAATCTTCTTATTATAGTTATTGGGTTGGGGAGAATGAGTCCGCGCCGAAAATCAAAAAATGTGTAAAACTTCTATTCGACTTCGTCAAATAATATGCGTTTGATATGAGTAGAATGGTTAACTAATTCTCTACAAAATCACATTTAAAAGAAAACTCAAACATCGTCTCAGCTCAAGAAAAGGTCATCTTTCCACAAAAACTACAAACTGTCATCTAGAAAAAACAATTGGTGGGATCTTCCTGCAAATTTGGCAACTTATGTAATTGAATGTGCTCTATCTTTTTTATATAAACACCAAAGAAGGTTTATGTGAAAGAAACTGTTCAAATGATGAGTCGGACTCTTTGCCATTTTAACCAGCTGCGTTTGGAAGTTCATAAACTCCACGAAAGAAAAGCTTTGTGGAATCTCTCAAAAGTGATTTTGTAGAG